GACTAATCCAGTGCAAATCGATGGTTTGCCACATTGGGACTTGCAACTGTGGCTGTTCTGCTTGCACATAATTGGAGATTTGCTTTATTTACCAATGTTTATTGCATGGTGCTATCGCAATTTACACAAACTCAGAAAACGAGGCATTTGTAGACATATCCGGTAAGAGTCTATGTAGCTGCTCAACTCGAGAATAATCTAATAGGTTGACGCCTTTTCACCAATACGCAGTTTTGCTGATCGACTTCGTCTATTTTGTTGAACTTCTTCACCTGATGGGCGCAAAGGACCAGCGATCTAAAAAGCAAAGCAGAGTTTTGTAGGAAGAATCCACCTTGAGTAAGGGTTGTTACGAGAAGTGTTCGTGAGCAAAATAACACATTGAGTTTTATCGTAAGGTTGGGTCAATCTGCTTTCAATTAAGATGAGCGTAAATGGTGATATTTGTCTCAACATAATTTATTTAAGAGAGCTTTATTTTTCAAATGCTTCAACGGCCTGAGATTTCGGCAAAAAGTTTGCAAAAACATAGGCCTGGTTAGAATAGCAGACTGCGTTATGACCAATTTTCAAGGATTGTGGAGTTGTGGTTCCGACTCGACAGATGGTTAACGAGATTGCACCTGTTCATGTTGCCCTTCCTGGTCTCGAAACGCATGCGGCATTGGCGTCTCATGTCGAAATCTGCGTGGTGAGGTCCTCCGAGGAAAGTTGGCTTCTGCCATTAACCGTTGTACCGTCCCCTGTTTGACTTGAACGTCTGGCGTAGACCCGGTTGCCGCATCCATTTGTTTTCTCAACCTCCCACACAGTCGTATGACGAATCGGTTCAATTCTACTTTGAATTTGTCATCGTACATTTCAGTAGATCGGCCGGGATGGTGGTCAAATTTGTGTGAAAAACCACCGGAACGGAATTTTCTCAAGCAATTCCGACACATGCATTAGCGTAGGTCATTACCACAACTTACGTCACGTATCTCTTTGTAAGCCTCAACACCTTTCTTGTCTACGTAATTTTAGGAAGCAAATCCTGTCGAAACTGTTTGTTTTTGAAGGTGCAGTGATACTTACACGTATCGGGGAAAAGTAATCCTACCGAAAAAGCTCGCAAAGTTAGTCTATTTGGACATCTGGCAAATTTTGATACAAACAAACATGAAAATAACTGCACTTCTGTAGAAGAAAGAACAGCACACTCGATTTTCTACTCCGGAATTACTTTCTTGCTAAAAATATTGGGTTGGTGAGGATCACGCGCTGTTGGAGCAATCAGTTGCAAGCAATGCCTAGAGGTTTGACAGGCGTCAAGGGCGCGGACGGACATGACATTTTATTCAGCAGTTTGATTGGGTGGTGTAAATTGCATCAGCAGGATCGTTAGGAATGGTGATACCCTTTGTGGCATTCGGAAGACAATATGGACAACAAACATTGCACATGTTTTAATTGTTTGAACGTAGGTGTCATCAGAAAACTTCTCGTATCATGCCCTCGATGTCAAGCTGCAAGTGAGTGAGACGACGATAAGTCTCGTTCATTGTTGCCGAACCCTAAATGCCCAATCCAGTCTGGCTGGGATGTGCTGCCTTGCCTTTCTTCCCACAAAACCGCACACAGTCTGACATCGAACTATTAGGCTGGAGGACTGTCTTTTAAGGCAGCCAAATACACCTTGAATAGGTTATCTCACAGTAAGAAAAGTGCATGAATCCCTTAGCCGGTTGAAATATTCAACTTGCCTAAACGGTGGGAAAGGCCTGCCGAGGTGACAGCACACAGAGACAGTAACATTTTGACACCAACATTTTAATACTAATTCTCACTTGAAAGACTAACTGTCGTTTGACGTAAAGTTAACAAACCTGGCGCCACAATGTGGAGGTCTGGTCGGTTGATAGGAAGCTCCCACTTTCAAGCGAGGAATCTGCTAGGCGCTGGGCAAGACCATAGCCATTGCAGCCACTCATAGCAAACGCTCGTTTAATTAGCCTGTCCTCCAGCGAGTGGAAGGAGATCACTGCAGCGCGGCCGGCCGGAGCATCTGGAGACGGCCCCCGAAGCAGCCTATGTGCTGCCTCGAGCCCACAACACAGCTCGTTAAGTTCATCATTGACGAAAATTCGCAGGGCCTGGAATATACGAGTCGCCACGTGGCTGCTCGTACGTTCGTCATTCTCTTCTTCATTTCCGGACCGAATACTTCGTTTCTGTCTAGAAAAGCAATGCAGATAATTCACCTGGTTAAAAAAAGATGGGCAAAGCTAGAAATGAAAAGAAAGGGAGCTGCTCATAACGAAGTTATTTGCGACAAATAATGGGGTGGGAATTGTATTAAATTAATAGGTATATTAGGAGAGGAGTGCAGGCACCACCTTTGGTTTAGAGGACTGACAACCGACGCCACGAGGTCGGCCAACTGTTTGGTCGAGCGAATGGGACCGAGGGTGTTGCGACACTCAACCACCGCCTTGGCGATGCGGCCAGAGAAGCGCTCCTCACCGTAGGCTTTAAAGACGCGGTTCAGCTGTGATGCGCTCAGTCCCATCAAGACATCCGCCGCCGAAGGACAGCCAGCTGCTTCGTCTCTAGGCGCAAGTGAAAATTGCAAGACACACGTCCAAACCAGATATTCATGGCATTGTTTACGACTTAGTAGTCCTTTTAAGGTCTGTGTCATTATTAACCTCACCTGACATACCTTTTGTGTTTTCAGCACCTACTTTGCGCCTCCTCCGCTTTCTTATTGAGTTAATCCTAAGCAAAGCGAATCATGTTGTGGAGAAATATTTCAATTTTCGCGGAAATTGTAACCCCAAACTACACTGAGATGCACTTCTGTTTAGTGATTTGAGATTTAGCTCTTTCGTTATAATTTGAACTTACTTGAAGCGACTTAGTTGCATTCAAAAATGTGATTCTCAACCACGTGGTGAAAAAAAACTGATTCGTGATGTCTAGAGTTGTACAAACTAAATTATCGTTTACTATGCTGCTCTCGCACAGCTGCCTCAGCATGCACCACCCACCGTTAGTCCAAACTGGCCTTTCGTCCTACCTTTTTAACCTCTTTACCTCAGAGCAAAAAACGAAAAACCAAACGAGTTCATTAAAGGATGCTTCTGGACAACGATAATGAGGCTGGCATGCTCAAATATTCAACCACTGCGAAGTTCTGTGTTAGTAATTAGCACGTGCTTCCAAAATTAAAATCTCTGAATGCAACCAAAGTGTTTAAATGATAAGGAAGTCGATCCTTGTGCTTGCTGAGCGGGGACAAGAAGTTCGATGACAGCGGAAATATGCGGGTTTTCAGGAAGTTGACAAAATATCATTGGGGGAAGTAGAAGGTATACAACTGATTAACGCTCGTTCCTTGAGTTAAAAATGAGTCCATTTCAAACACTAAAAACGGATAGCTTCTTTTCCATCAACCTAGCACAGTGTCCTCATCGTGATTCCCACTTTAATTAGCGCTTTGTGTTCAGGTCTCTAGTAAAACACAATCAAATCAAGGCATAATGAAATCACGAGCTCAATCACAGTGAAATGATACTCAATTTATTTGTTATGGACGACCCCACGTTGTATAATAATTCAAACCATCGGATGTTACGTCACATTACTCAGCACTTTCCCGATGCGTGTCACGCAAGCGTACACTGACTTGAATACACTACTAGTGGACAATCCAAGTCCCATCATAAATCGGTGGTCTAGTTTATCACGAGCAAAAAAATTACCGAATTTCAGTGAAAAAAAGCAAAAAATCGAACTAAAAACAGGCAAATCAATACATACCACCAACTACTACTGCATGTAGTCAAAATAATCTTTCGTATATATCGCGAGACCGCATTTCCGTTAACGGAATTTACATAGTTTTGGTTGGGTCTTAATATGATAAAGTCACACGCATCCCAATACAATGTCACGCGGAAGACGCCAGTCACAACAAAGGTGTAGTCCTTTTACTTCTAACTGCTTCCAAACCAGAGAAGCAACCTTGATCCATTGCAGGGAGCAGCAGCAATGGGAGCTTGCGACAACGCACTTCGAAACACACAGGCCGTCACTTGGTGTTGTTTTGTCAGTAAACCCCGTCTTCGAAATTTATGTTCTTTACAAATAAATAGGTGACTTGCTGCACTTCAAAAATAATCGACGAACCGAAAATAGGTCAGCCAACCTCACAGGATTAATGGACCCTTGAATTTAATAATGAGACGCTTTAGATATTTTCGATAGCCCAAGCCACAGTTAGGTTTGAGATTTGAAAAATGGACACGTCAAATATAACAAGAGGATCGTCGAAAGAAAAACCCGAACCACAATATTTTCAAAACTTCACACCAGCACAAAATGGGAACAAGGAAGTTCGTCGTTTAGGCATTTGAAGAAGAGAATTAACACAACCGAAACCAAGTAGAATCCACGTTTAGTGCACACAAACGTTGTCACAGGTAAAATGATGGGAGGAGATAGCAAACGCATAGGTAGGATTAACTCACACACATCTAGAACTTCTATTGTCGGAATGAAGCTGACACACA